AACATTGTGCGAACACTAGTTATAATAAAAATAAATAACGATACTGTGTTGCTATATAAAAAAGCAGTCATGAGGACTGGCGACTAAAGTAAAAACTTAAAACTATAAACAAACAGTTGTTATTTTTGGATATTCAAATTAATTGTTTGATCTTAAATTAAAATCTGTAAATTAAAACTGTTTACATTTATCTGGTTTTGACATCTATCGGAATTCTGAGTCTTAACACGTCACGTGACCATGTTGATGATGACTTACATGAATTTACTGCCCATCCAAACCCGCCTATAGAAGTTTTCACTTCAAAAATAAAATGGAAATACTTTGGAATTTAAAATATTAGTAAGAATAATCTAAAACTGTTAATTAAATAAATTTCAAAACACGTAGAAGCTTGATCAGGTAAGCCTATCTGTAAACTAAACAGGTCCGAAAACACAAAGCCTTAGAATAGTGCAGGTATCTTTTCTCTACAATTAATCGTCTCCTTGCGTTGCAGTTGTTGAATAATTCAGAGTTGTCCTAATTTCCGTCAACATCCATTGTGTATGAGACGTCCCGCGTCGCTCCGTTGCGGTCGAAGCGATGAGAGCGATCGAATTGTTTTCTGATGACAATTGCTTTCGAGACTCACTTTGAGTTTAGTAAAGGACAAGATTTTTTTTAAATTCAAGGAGTAGTTGGATGACTTTTTTTATATAAATTTATTTATTTATTTAGTTGTTATTTTTATATTTATTATTTTTATATTTTGTTAGTATTGAAAAATTAAACTTTTTACTAAGTGTAAGATTGATTTTATAAAAATAGCATTTTTATAGCGTAATGTAAATTTCAAGTTATTTTTCGAGATACGTATATTTGAAGGATGATGAAATATACTTTTTTTTTTTGTTTTAGTGCTAGAATAAATTATTATGTAGAAAAGTTGGTTTTTCCCGACGTCTAAGGAACACAATTGATTAAAACACATCGGTTTTTCATCATCTTCTTCTTCTTAGTTAGCTGGCCACCGAGGTAAATTTATATAGTTACATAATGCATACGTACAAAGATATACTTGATATTATATTCAAAATATAAGATTTCAAACCATCTAATACCTACTTTGATGGTACGATTACTCTCATACCTTGACTGTGCCAGACCCTTTTTTTTTTTTTTTAACGTTGGGAAATGCATTTACGCACGACGTGTGGGACTCATCGGCGTAATACAGCCAGTACTACCCACTAAAACCCAACAAAACCTTCCCCCGTCTTAATGGGGCGTCGGAGGATCGCTTACGCATTCAACTACGACGCCCCGACGGCAGGTCTGCCGAAGCAGACCACCACAACCATGGGGTTGCTCCACAGTCCACTCTGCTATCAGAGAAGTACCAGGAGCAACCCGCATGGTACACCGCCCCCCAAAGAGGGCCACCTCCCACCGCCCACCGAAGTGGGCAACCTCCTTTGCGTTTCTTAGCTTCGCGCCCGGTTGGATTGCCGGGCACTACTGAGCCCCCCACCACGACAAGGTGAACGCACGTTGGGGGGGACTGTGCCAGACCCTTCATAGACGTGCATATAACAACTCACTAAAACTTTATCGCATTGAATGAATGCATTGGAATCCATATATTAGAAACCGGCAAACGAACCAAAATTTAAGTTCATTTCTACGTCCCTATGCTACATTTATATTATACACTCGTGCAAAGATGTTGTTTAGAAAGTGCCTATGTTCGTATTTTAGGAAGTTACAAAAACGGATAGATACGAGTAGCTCGTTTTGTTGCAAGTTTTCGCCCCCGCCCGCCCGTCCGTCCGTCCGTCAGTGTGAACAGTTTCAGGGCACTGTAAATGTAATTTTGTATGTCGTCGTTGTGGATAGATTACTTTTATATGTAACGCTTTCAATAGTTCAAAGCTATATCAAATAAACTATAACATAAATGTAATTTTTTTTCTTATATTTTAACTTGTTAAAAACCTTTTTTTTTTTATCGTCGAGAAATGCATTTACGCATACCACCTGATCCCCCAGGTGGTGATGTGGGGCTCACCGGCTAGAAGAGCCGGTACTACCCACTAAAACCCGACATCCCTTCCCCCCGCCTTAGTGTGACGCCGCAGGATCGCTTGCGCATAACTACTACGGCGCCCCGGCGGCAGGTCTGCCTAAATACTAGGCAAACCACCAAACCAATGGGGCTGCTCCACAGTCAACTCTGCTACGTCAGAGAGGTACCCGGAGCAGCCCCATAAAACCAAAACACTGCCCACCGAAGTGGGCCACCTCCAATCGGCTGCAGAGGACAGGGAGAGCGGCAACGAAACACCGACACTCCTCTTCCCCTGCAGCCCCACCGCGTCCGCCATCACACGGTGGCGGCCCCGTCTAGGCCGCGGAAGGTAGGGAGAACGGCGCACCGAAATACCGGCACTCCTCTCCCGCCGCGGCCTACCCCTCCGCCGAATGCGGGCCTGCGACCACAGTCCCGCAACCGGCACCCATCATCCGGTTGTGGGATCAAGCGGTCCCACCACCGGTGGCCGCAACGTCTTCGGCTCGAGGCCTAGACGAGCGGCCCCATCCAAGCCATTTGGTCCGCGCCGGATTTCTCCGGTACCACCCGCCCCTCTAAGCGGGTGGCATGCCCCTATCCGCCACCTGGGGACGCGCCCGGTAGGAGTTGGCTTCTCCCCCGGGAACTTGTTAAAAACCTAACCTAACCTAATCTAACGACTAACCAGAAGATAACTAAAAAATTAAAAATCTTAAAAAAATCACTTAATAAGAAAAAAAAATTTCTAAACGTTAGTTTTAACGAAGGACGCGTTCAAACTCGGAATTGAAGTGCCTATTTGTTTGTCTATTTGTATTTTAATATTAATATATTAGATTGTATAATTTCTTTGCTATAAATTAATAAACTTTTTCATTAAACCTTATAGTTCCATTAATATTCATATTGGTATTTCTTTATATATATTTTTACAATTGCTTTTAACTTTTCTTTACAATAAAAATAAGTATTGTATAATTATTGTTTTTGAAGAAAGTTACGACATTTAACGAAGTTTGTTAATTTTTTCCAAAACTTTCTAGATTCTACCACACATACAAGTTTCCTTACAATTTTTCCTTCACAGTAAGGCGATTGGCAATCATACTAAAATAATTCCCACGTGAGAATGTCGGAAGTGCGCAACTCGGGATTAGAACCCGCTTCACTTAGTTTCTCAAGAGTGATTGAAGAGTAAATATTATTACGCAAGGAGGAAGTATCGAACGATATAGATGTTGCTTAAAATAAAGGGACTAAACGTATTTCATTAGGCTCTTCGAACTTCCATAGAGACTACCATATCACATCTACGCAGTTACATAGAGAAATATAAAAATGTGTGAAACAACTACAGTTCTCCTCAAAGGGACATATATTTACAAGCGCAAACAACTAGGTGTACACTTTCAACGCATATTGAAAAGCTGGATTTTTTTTATCTTTTTTTACCTTTACGATGTACAAAGAGTCACTCAATCGTATCTTGTGAAAACTTATAGTGATATTATAGTGAAAGTTAGTATTATGATAGTGCGTTCTGTAGATCTATTTTTTTCTAAAGATTACGATTATTTAAATACTAGCGATTCACCCTCGCTTTGCTCGGGTTGGCCCTAGCTTGATACCCCAAACAAACTTTCATCCCCATTTTTACCCCCTTAACGGTTTATTTCTGCGATAAAAAGTATTCTATGTCCTTCGCAGGGTCTTAAACTATCTTCTTACCAAATTTCATCCGGGTCAACAAATAGGATCCTTCTGACCGCGAGAAAATATCTCATTTGTGAGAAAAAATATAAAAACTGCATTGTAAGAATATACTAATATGTAAGACTAAGAATTTGGTTTTTGGTCATCTGAACGCCGGCGGAGCCGCGGGCAATGCTAGTACAAAATAAACAAGAACATTGAATTTGGCAATGTTGGCCCATTGGTAACGCGTTTTATAGAAAAACTACGCTAGTATAAAGCTCGGGTCTTGTACCTCTGATATTCATATATAGGAAACATTTCCAACATGCTTACTGCTTGCCATACAGTGAGGGAAGACATGGTGAGGAAACTTGCATGTCTGGGAGAACCTAACCAGTTTTCGAAAAACATATGAAGATCGCTAACTCACGCTTTGCCGACGTGGTGATCCCCCTCGTATTTATAAAAAGCAAGGAATTAGTACAAACAATGAAATCTGTAAACTTATCTTATGTAATATTAAATCTTTTAAAAATAAGCGCACATTAAAGACTATTTAAAATTATTAAAAGACAATAAGACCTCAAAACTCATTTTCCAAATCTTTGTTTCAAACCGTGCAAACGATTGAAAAAGATAAGAAAAAGGTTCCAATACCTTTTATCTTACACTCATGTGCAGCCAACCGCCCGCCCGACGCCCGCCCGCCGACCGCCCGCCCCGGCTAACGCGGAAGCCCGATCATTTCAATTTCACAGAAACATTCGACTTGAAACTTTTTCACCCACTTCTTGCTTCGCTGCTCATTACAAGAGTTTCTTTTCAAGCGGTTAAATTTTAATATTACGATAAGTAAATAATTTCTATTATTATTTTGTTTGTGTCCAATTCGTTGTATTATTTTTCATTAATATTTTCTTTTTAGTACATTTTTACGCTTAAGAATTTCTATATTATTTAAATTATCAAAATATGTACCGCACAGATGAAATTACAATTATTTACATAGGAGTATTATGTTTCGCAGCTTCATTCTTTGCGATTTGGATTCACATATTGTAGATGTATTTCCAACTATCAGCCTAGCACGGAATTTTATAGTTTTTTTTTTTTAAGTAGCAACACTTTATTTCAAATATCCTACTTCCTAATCCCCACCTATCCATACTTCCTCTTTGCAATATTTCGTGTGGCTTGTCATTATGTTTTTCCGTGCTGAAGCCTACGCACGTCAAAACTCGACTCAATCAAAATGGGGAAGAAAAGAAAACGTGACAAAAGTGAAGAATCTATTCGAAAAAAGATAAGAAAATTGGAAAGTAAACTGCAGAATCGTCGAAGAATAATTTCATCAGACGAAGATATTCAGAGTTAGTATTTTTTTCCTCAAAAAGTGACGGTAAATGTAAATAAAATATTTGCTAAATTAATATATTTAAATTTTTATTGCATAATTTTATTTTTTGTTCACTTTGACTTTACACTATTTAATTTTTTACCGTTAAAATTTGATATACTACAAATTCAAATGTATAAACACAAGTGATGCGTTTTTACCGTCACGCTTAATTTGATGCGTTTTTACCATCATATAAGGCAGCTGATGCGTTTTTACCATCATGCTTGCCACATTCGACGATCCTGAGATCGTTTTTAGTGATATGTGATAAATATTCACAGGTCCATGCGAAGACCAGTTTCTACAAGCAGACAAGATGACAGGTGTGCTCACACCATGTTCGCCCCATACAGTGGAGACACACAATTCTGAGCATCAAGATAGTTCTCAGTTTTTCCCTGCAGACCCAGCTACAGAACCAATAAAAACTGTTGACCATAAGCTAGATGAGGGTATTTTAGAAATACTTGGGAATGCACCTGAACCAGACACCACGCTAGGAAAACCTATCCATAAGGACATAGCTGCCAAATGGATTGAGGTATTAAAGAAAGGATTAAATAAGGAACAAAAAGATCTATTGGCCAAGAAATATTTAGTTCCTAGTAACTGCGAGTTACTCGTTCCTGAAGTAAAAGTTACTTTACTTGAACAATTTATAAAAAGAGACACTTCTTTAATGAACAGACAAAAACGATTCGCCAATGCTCTTTCGGCGCTAGGTCAATCCATTTAATTAATTATTTCTACAAATTGTGAGCAAGGGTTAAAACAAAAAGTTTTAAAACCTGTCAGTGATGTTTGTAAAATTTTATGTGATATGCATCATTACGAAACAAAAACAAGGCGAAAGTTTGTCATTGCTTCCATCAATACTAGCTTAAAAGATACATTGGCGAACTCTGAAGCTGACAAGTTTCTTTTCGGAGATAACATGTCAGAAAAGCTTAAGACAGCAAAAACTGTACGACGCTCTGCTGAAGCACTAAAGGTGACACAAGCACCATTTTCTAGGGCTAACTTTTCTAATAATAAATCTTTTAACAGCAAGAATAATTTAAACTACAAGCCCCTGCATCAAAAGACAACAGGCAGGCAACATGCAGGGAGGCCGTATGCAGTCCTGCCACCACGGCACCAGAACAGCAGTTCGCAACGGCAGACTCACTGGATGCAGCGGCCGCCTCCACCACCGCCGCCCTCTTCACACCAACCACCTCCGCCGATACGCAGGTCGGCTCGCAAATAAATGAGGTACCGTACGCAGGCCGATTAAAGTTATTTATATCTAATTGGTATAAGATCACTAGTGATCCCACAGTTTTATCTTGGATTGATGGATATAGAATTCCCTTTATTTCTTTACCAATGCAAGTAAATTGTCCTTTAATATATTCTGATTCTATAATTGAATCATATGATTATGAAAAATCAATTGCAAAATTATTAAAAATTGGAGCTATATATAAATGTAGTCATGAAATTTTTTAATTTTTATCACGAATATTTCTAGTTCCTAAGCCTAATGGTGAAAAAAGGTTAATTTTAAACTTATGGAAGATTATCGCACTGCATCAAAGCTTATAAATTAACTAAAAACTGTTATATGGCGTCCTTAGATTTGAAAGACGCTTATTTTTTAATTAATATAAATAAATATCACAGGAAGTTTTTACGTTTTATGTATAACGGCTTTCAATTCACCTGTTTACCATTCGGTTTATGCACTGCACCATATGTATTCACAATGTTTTTAAAACCTGTCATAGAATATATTCGTAGTAAATATAATATTTTGTCAGTAATTTATCTCGATGATCTTTTATGTTTTGGAGAAAGTTTTCAAGAGTGTCAGAATAATGTTCATAACATTAAAAAATTGTTAATATCATTAGGTTTCATCATTAACACTGTTAAAAGTTCCTTAATCCCTAAACAACAATGTAAATTTTTAGGTTTTGTTTACGATTCAAAAAATATGTTTCTACAACTACCCGATGATAAAAATATAAAGTAAAAGAAATCTTATTGACATTTGTCAGATTAAAGAAATGTAAATTACGTGATTTTGCGAGATTTATAGGTTTGTTAATATCTGTTTGCCCTGCAGTAGAATATTCCTGGTTACATACAAAGCAGTTTGAGTACCATAAATATATGTGTCTACTTAAAAATTCTTCTTATGATCAAATAATTACTGATAGTTTAAAACCAGATAGAAATTGGTGGTTAGCTAATATAGATAATTCTTACTGTCTATTTAGATTTAACAATTATGACTTAGAGATTTTTTCTGATGCTTCTCTTACTGGATGGGGTGGTTATTGTGGTAGTAAAAAAGTCCATGGATTTTGGAAATTCGAGGAAACTTGTCTACACATTAATGAGTTAGAATTAAAAGCAGCTTTTTTCACATTAAAAGTGTTCACAAAAAAATTATTTGGCAAAGAAATTCTTTTACGTATTGATAATACAACCGCCATTTCGTGTATAAACAGAATGGGAAGTGTGCAATATCCTCATCTCTGTCAAATAAGCAAAGATATTTGGGAATGGTGTGAGACGCATAAATTGTATATTTTTGCATCATATATTAATACGAAGGATAATACAGAAGCAGATTCTTTGTCTCGTAAAAAGTTTCAGGGCACAGAATGGGAATTGGCAGACTATGCATTTCAAAAAATTGCGATAAATTTTGGTGATTTTGATATTGATTTATTTGCAAGTCGGTGTAATGCAAAATGTAAAAAATATATTACTTGGAAAAGAGATCCCGATGCACTAGCTGTTGATGCCTTTTCTGTGTCCTGGAAAAACATATTTTTTTATGCCTTTCCTCCATTTATTTTAATATTGAAAGTTTTGCGAAAAATAATATCAGATAAAGCAGAAGGTGTATTAGTTGTTCCATACTGGCCTACACAACCGTGGTTCCCCTTATTTAATAAATTAATTTGTTCACCATGTATATATTTTGAGCCAAACGTTAATTTACTAACTTCTCCTTTCAGATCATCACACAGTCTTCATCAGACCTTGTGCTTAGTAGCCGCGAAGTTGTCAGGAAAACATATTTAAAAATGGGTCTGACATCTAGAACCGTAGATATTCTAATGAATTCACTTTCAGATAATACTTACAAACAGTATGACAGTTGCATAAGGTCTTGGTTAGGGATTTGTAAAAATAAAAATCACGATTTTTCCTATATGTCTATTCCTGTTATATTAGATTATATGAGTGAATGTTTTCATAAAGGAGTTAAGTATGGAACAATAAATTTACACAAATCTGCCTTATCTCTATTATTTCCTAATATTCTTAAGGATGATTGTATTAAAAGATTTATGAAAGGGGTTTTCAGAACTAGACCTTCTCAACCTAAATATAGTATTACGTGGGACCCTAGTATTGTTCTTAATTAATTGTCTGCACAGTGGCCACATGAAGGTCTCGATCTTGAAATTCTCTCGAAAAAAGTTATAACTTTGTTGGCTCTGGTCACAGCACATCGCGTACAGACTCTAGCTTTGATAAAGATTCCTAATACTGAAGTAGATGACTCACATAATATGATAAAAATTCCTGATCTTGTAAAAACATCTCGACCAAATTCATTTCAACCTATTCTAAAATTGCCATTCTATAATGAAAAACAATGTATATGCCCAGCAAAGTGTTTGTTAGATTACATAAATAAAACTAGCTCCTTACGTGATTCTAAAATTATTTTCTTATTTATTAGTTATAAAAAACCATATAAAAAATTAACTTCACAGACCTTAAGAACACACTTAATAAAAGTGGCATAAACACTCCTATTTTTACCGCACATAGTACGCGACATGCAGCTACGTCCATAGCCAACAAACTTGGTGTTAATATAGATGTAATTAGAAAGACTGCCGGTTGGAGTCAATCATCTGCAACTTTTGCCAGATTTTATAATAAAGAAATTATTGTTGATAATTTTGCTCATTCGGTACTTTCCTCTGAAAGTGTTAAGAATTAAAATATAATTAAAGGTATAGAAAGAATTAAATACACAAAATGATAATAAAAATTTATGTTCATACTTACATGTCTTTTAATACTTACCTGTTTTCATATTACATTCATAGTTACATTTTATATTTGCTATATTTCTCTGAACATCCTACAATATGTGAATCCAAATCGCAAAGAATGAAGCTGCGAAACATAATTGAAGATCAAACGAACTTACCAAGTGAAGTTCGATCACAATTATGTGAGCAGCTTCATTCGACGCGATTTATATAAACCCACCCTACATAATAAAATATTAACATAATTACATTTCTACCTTCAAAAGGACTTAATATAATTTCGTATATACCCAGCCCTAGTTTTAACAAATTAAAAACGACAAATATAAAATGGTAATAATCTTTAAACTAAATGACAAGCCACACGAAATATTGCAAAGAGGAAGTATGGATAGGTGGGGATTAGGAAGTAGGATATTTGAAATAAAGTGTTGCTACTTAAAAAAAAAACTATAAAATTCCGTGCTAGGCTGATAGTTGGAAATACATCTACAATATGTGAATCCAAATCGCGTCGAATGAAGCTGCTCACATAATTGTGATCGAACTTCACTTGGTAAGTTCGTTTGATCTTCAATTATACTTCAGTTAGATAATAATAGACGCATACTTAAATAAATTAATTCTAACTTACGAGCTCGACCTGGGAGGCAAAATAGAAATATATAAATTAGTAAAGTATATCATATAAATGAAATAAAAATGTTCCTTAAGATGATAAAGATAGTTAATAACTAAGCACAAAAAAGGAATAAGCTGAAGAGACAGTGGGCTGGTCACATTTATTGCAGAACAGTCTGATGACTGATGGAATTGACGGGTTCGAGAATGGAGAACATGGAGAATGGATGGAGAACTAAGGCAAACTCTTCAAGTAGTAGGAGCGTCTATGTTCGCATAGTGGTTGGCAGCTTTTGTACACGAAGAACTAAAGATAAAGCATAATGACATGCCCTATGTATAGGTGTGGACGAAAGGAGGTTGGTAATGATGATGATAAACATAAAATTCTTTATTTCTGTAAAGCTATTTCTTTGAAAAATCATAATATTTATAGAATAATTTTGAATCTAGGCTACTACGAGTAGACTCATATGTATTTAGAGTGTTTAAGAAGCTTGGAATATCACAGTATATAAGAAATTTTGTGAGTGTTTAAAACATTTATACACAGAAATACATATATCTCGATTTTACTTTAATTCTAAAATTTACGCAATAAAAATAATTCTAATTAATTAAATCTTAAAGAAATGTAATATAAATAAATTCTTAATATTAGTATAAACTAAATATAATAATAAAAAATGTCCAAATTGTTATCAATCAAAACGAAATTATTAAACAAAATTCGAAATAATTTTCTAGTAATAAAGTCATTTTTCATAGCTCTCAGAGCGTCGCCGCACAAAAGGGTGATTTTATACCCCATTACGCTATAGAGGGATGTGAGTCGACACTTTATTTACATTAACGCTTTACGAGAGTAAAAATTATTGTTTTAATGAACGATAATGACAAAACGCGGGAAGCTTTTGATACTAATATAATGTTAGAACTTATTTTTTTGTTACTTTATAAAATACTAGCATTGCCCCCGGCTCCGCCGGCGTCTAGATGACCAAGAACCAAATTCTTGCAGTTTTTATATTTTTTCTCAGAAATGAGATGTTTTCCCCCGTTAAAAAGTATCCCATATGTTGACCCGGATAACCAGCTATCACCATACCAAATTTCATCTAAATCCCTTTAGTGGTTTTTCTGTGATGCGGTAACAGATAGACAGACAAACAGACAGACAGAGAAAAATTCTAAAAACTATAGATTTGGCCTCAGTATCGATAATGATGTTTATTTCAATAAGATTTTCTAAAAATATTTAATGTACAGATTCGGCTTAGTTACAATGTTATTATATGTATGGATGACGTAATATAATTTCTTGTGATAACATTAGATACTCTGTTCATTTTTACTTATACGGCAGAATAAACGCAAGAATTACTGAATTTTATATGTACTAGTATATAGAGTTTCTATTAAATGAGAAAATGTTTTTTTCTAGCCACGCTAGAGTGGGAACCGCGGGATGGTTTCTCGTCAACGTTCCTACAGGTCATCAGGGTAGTTACTGGTTACGATACTGTATGAACTCGGAACATTCTAATATAGGCGAAGATATGGACTAGGCGGCCTTCGTGGTTCGAGTGCGCAGAAGCGTTTGAGTTCGTGTGCAAGTTATCCTACACCGTTCCATTATAGCGATGGAATATTTCGCAGTGGTTTTAGTGATTCGAGTCTTACAGTACCTTGCCCATTGATGGCCACCATGTCCCTATAAAGGGTTCCCATAGCAAAAAGGGAAAGTAAAATATAGAAAACTGTAGAAAGAAAGGGTTTCACAATTTCACAATAGAAGCAATGCGCCATGATTGTTGTTGTCATGGTTTAAGATCGGTTCTCGTGGAAAGCTTTAGGAAGCTTATATCCAGCGGTATTCTGATTCATTGGGCTGAGACGATGATGATGAAGTAGTTTTATTGCAAAGAACTCTACTTACCTTTTCCCTGAAAAAATATTTTGTCTATACATAGAGAGACAACAAATATTGATCAAATAAATCCCAAGCTAATCGCATAACATGCAGAACAAATAAACACCCAGATCGACCTACTACGTACATAGAATAAAGTCAAACAATATGAAAATTTTCTACCACGCTATTATTATTTCTATAGACAATTTTCTCTTATGTAAGCAAGAAAGTTTACTTTTATATTATATATAACTGTCATCCTTCATAATTGAATACATAAAGAGCTTTTACTCCATTCAAAGCTCCGATACATTATAGATTGCATTTGGAAACAATGCAAGTAATTCAGAACGCTCGGGCGACGGCGGCAACCTAATGAACTCATATGCTTTACTTTCCGATAATGTACGTATATAAAATTAGTTTTAGTGTACGAGTTGTAGAGTTCTAAAATACAAATTTACTATTAGTAAAATACATAATACAAATAGATATATTGGCACAGCACCATCTATTTCCATGGTTAGCTACGAGACTTGTGTTATGGATACCAAATAGTTGATACACTACACGTATGTAACTTTAAATACATACATATCATAAATATAAACACCCATAACCGGAGTACTAACATTCGTGCTCATCATGCAAATGAATGCCCCAACGGGACTCAAACACACGACCGCTGGCACGCCATGTAGAGTTACTATAAAGTGAGCCAAACGTGTCGTCAATCAAAAGTAAAAGAGAACAGAAAGAAAGTAATGAAATAAGTTAATAATTCAAAATTTTTACTTCTTAATTAATTTAAGAGCAGATATATAATTCTAGTGGGTAAACAAACCTAATGGTCGAGGAAAGCCGCAGTATAAGGTTAATCCAAGAAGTAAAAAGAGCTGACCTTAATAACAAGTGCGATGGGTCAGAGACAATACGGCTTTGTTCACTTGAACCTCGACATGGACAATGGAATAGTTTTAAAGGAACGTTGCAACAATCTCGGCGGCCAGAGAGCGGCGACGGAGACGGGCAACGCAGCACCGAGGGCAGTTAGATAAATAGAGTTAATTGATTATTGTGCTTCTACAACAGTACGTTACTTAGAATTTAATATGACTTTTTTCTTTAACAAAATCATTGTAATAATATTATTTATTTTTTATTTTACAAAATTTTGCCACCAGTTTTTTAGTTCACTAGCATCTCACCCTCGCTTCGCTCGGGTCCGTCCCTAGGTTGATTCCCCGTACAAACTTTTATCCCCATTTTCAGCTCTTTAAATGATTATTTTCGGGATAAAAACTATTCTATGTCCTTCCCAGGGTCCCAAACTATCTTCTTACCAAATTTCATCTAAATCGGTTCAGAAGTTTCGGAACCTATTCAGTATAAGCAAACAAACAATCAAATCTTTCCTCTTTATAATATACCTTACCCTACTACGAACTGCCTAACAATATAATCTATGTGAATCTACACAGAGTCAGTAATTCTTTTTATGGACAATGTATACGCTTGTACAACAGGATCCCAGAAAATGTTCAAAAGGCTTCTATCGCCAAATTCAAAAAAAATTGTTAAAGAACGTTTGTGTGCTAAAGGTACATATACATATACATACAATAAATGATTTTATAGAAGATGGCACACCTTGGGAATGAAATGATCGCCTCCAGGCTACTTCAACTCGATAGAAATATTGTAAATTATAATTTTACTTTAAAAAAAGATTATACTTTAAGAAAAGATAATAAGGCTTCTTCTTTCCAAACTGGTAGTAAACTCATGACGTTCAGTAAAAAATTGTAATAATTTAATACTGAATATTTTGATTTGATTTGATACTCCAAGTCGTACTCCATCTCTCATTTCAGTGTGAAGGAGTAACAAACTTTTGTATTTATTTTTCATGTAAATTTAGTACGTAAATTAGTAGTCTAATAAAGTAGCCTATAGCAATGTAAACAGTAACAGTAAAGTTGCCTTAAAACGCCCTATAGCAATACGGATCTAAAACCTAAGCACAACCTGCCAATGAAAATCCTCAATTCAATCCGATTTTATTCTTAATGGCTTCAAATATGAAAATCCTATAAAAAATTAATTACTATTATTTGAAAATTACAACAAACAAACCGAGAGGCATCATTTTTTAACTGTTATTTCTATTTTATTAATAATAACAACTACTAATAAATAAGATTTATGTGTATGTTAGTTGTTGTTAAAAAATACATTTTTTATAAGTCAACCAAAAACAAACCTATCCCTCGGGAACCATATATTTTTCCGGGATAAATAGCCTATGTATTATTCCAGGCCATAATCTATCTCTGTGCCAAATTTCATCCAGATCTGACCAGCCGTTCTGGCGTGAAAGAGTAACAAACATCCATACATCCATACCACAAACTTTCACATTTATAATATTAGTATAGATTCTACACTAATATTACAAATGTGATAAATGTGAAATGTATAATATACGTGTCATCCATATATATAAAAGAAAGTCGTGTTAGTTACACTATTTATAATTCAAGAACGGCTGAACCGATTTGGCTGAAACTTGGTGGGGAGGTAGCTTAGAACCAGGAGACGGACATAGGATACTTTTTAGCCCGTTCGACTGCGTTCCCGTATACAAGACTCAAGAACGGCTGGACCAATTTTTATGATATTTGAATTTTTGGATTTCTCTCATTCCAATAGGTTAATACCTTAAAACGTCAGAAAAATTAACGAAAAAAAAATTATATGGCTAATAACACTGGCTAATAACTATTTATATCTATTTAAAACGTACCTAGCGACGAACCCGAGCGAAGCGAGGGTGAGCCGCTAGTGTGACTAAATAAAAAAGCATGCAAATCTGAGAACAGCTATTGTGTACATCGTCGAGTCTTAAAATCTATACATACTCGTATAACAAAATTCAAACTAAGTCAAATCTGTACATTAAATATTTTTTGGAAAATCTAATTAAAATAGACAATATCGATACAGAGTCCGAATCTATAGTTTTTAGAATTTTTGTCTGTCTGTCTGTTACCGCATCACGAGAAAACCACTAGACAGATTTTGATGAAATTTGGTATGATGATAGCTGGTTATCCGGGTAAACATATAAGATACTTTTTACCGCGGGAAAATATCTCATTTCTGAGAAAAAATACAAAAACTGCATCGTAAGAGTATACTAATATGTAAAACCTAAGAATTTGGTTTTTAGTCATCTGAACGCGGGCGGAGCCGCAGGCGATGCTAGTATTATATATTTGACAGTAGAATTGACAGTAGATAGATCAGAGGACAGAGTGAGCAGTAAGTAGGTCATTCATAATGCTCACTGCACCGCCTTATTAGCTAAGGGTCGATAGGAAATAGCAATCCTTCGATTATTTTACTTCGTCGTTTCTTTGTTAGTTGTTTTTTGGTATTTTTGCTGTAGATACATTGGAAAGTTCATGTCTTTTATCATATATATATAAAAGTATTTTTATCTATACATATAATAAATTGTAACTAAGCCGAATCTGTACATTAAATATTTTTTGGAAAATATTATTGAAATAGACATTATTCTCGATACAGAGGCCGAATCTATAGTTTTTAGAATTTTTGTCTGTCTGTCTGTTACCGCATCACAGAAAAACCACTGGAGGGATTTTGATGAAATTTAGTGTGGTGATAGATGGATATCCAGATCAAAAATATAGGATACTTTTTCCGCAGAAAAATTCCTCATTTCTGAGAAAAAATACAAAAACTGCAATGTAAGAGTATACTAATATGTAAAACCTAAGAATTTGGTTTTTGGTCATTTGAACGCGGGCGGAGCCGCGGGCAATGCTAGTCTATCTATATATCTTTAAGAATTTTAAAATATTCTATACGCATAGACGCATGAAGTCCGTCTACCTGCACTTGGCGAGTGTGGTGGGTTATTAAAAAAAACAATATACATTTTACACAGACAAAATCGCAATCAATCTATCAATAAATACAAAATATAATGCAATTATCCTATTACTGTTCCATTACATTTGTTATGTCAACAGTTCCTAATTTCAAATCAATAATAATTACTCAATGAACTCCTGATTGAATGTATGATGCATATTGTATTATAATTAGATTGGCCTCTTATCTTCAATAATTACACTACACTAATAAATGCTAAAATTTGTATGTGTGAACGTTTGTTACTCTTACACTCTAAGACGGCTGGACAGATTTGGATGTAATTTAATACACATATAGGTAGGTTATGTATTTTAAATAAAACTATTTTGTCGGATTTTTTCGCGGATTTATTTTGATTTTTGATTCCCGACGCGACGTTTCGAAAGCTTTACAGCAATCATGATCACGGGACGGACTGAGTCTCTCCGCGCGTCAGTCTGAGAAAAAATCCAAAAAGACATTTTTATTTAAAAGCTAAGAAAGTGTTACGTTATGTATAAAGTATGAACTGTAAAAACTGATAAAACACGAGTATATAATAATAATCTCTATTTACATACTCGTAGTTTGATTTACACAGTCTAGTTACACTATGCAATGTTTAGAGATTTTCTTCTGAAGGGTATACGTATAGGTGTAGGTATCTGTATATGTATAAACTATAAATACATATTACAGCTATAACCGCTGTAATATGTATTTATAGCAAGCTCATAAGAGCCGATGTTTTGTAACTAAGACAAAGCAAAGCGATGGCAGATTACAACTTAATAATACCTATGATGTAAAACGGTATATTTACCATTTTTTTGCACTTACCTTTGACCTCGTAACAGGGCTAATATATACTCGTAGGGGACTCATAAAGCATGCTAATTAATTTAATATAAAAATACTATGAGTGACAGTTGTACGCAAACTTAAATAAGAAATAATAATAAGTAATTAATTTACAAATATGGATAGGTATATTGGAAAAGATGAAAACAATAAAAGAGAGGGAAGATAATATTATATTCTATATAAGCAAAAAAGGTTCTAAAATGGCCAAAATAACGGCTCTCACTCCCCATGAAAGCGGTGAACACTGACAGCTCACTTAATATCGTAGCTAAATGTCATGGCGTCAATCAAATGGATGGCGGAAATACCAAAACAAAATTCTCCGCAAGATGCTGCAAACTAAACAAAATATAATGCACACTCTGAAACTTATTTTATTAGCCTATATACACAGTATTGTAAAAGGGTTAAAACTATATTTTATTTAATATTTTTGATCTTTTTATGCTTTAAGGATATCAATGCTGATATATTTACCAAAAATTGTAAATAAAATCGAGTCAAATATTTAAACTGGTAACATTTCCCTTTGAATCCGGTTATAGTTTTATTTATTCACATTTTTTTATTCTGCGGTCATAAAGCTACATATTTTACAATTAATGATAAAAAACCTGGTTCGAGTAATAGCTTTGCCTTATTACTATCACCTCCTTTATTGTTGACAACCAAAATAGAAGACGTAGGCAAAGGCGTAGGTAGTCGCATGTATAAAGAACTTACAATATTGTCAACTCATGTTTAATGATTTCTGTGAAAGAAATATATCGAAGAAATTGCTTCTTAGAAACATTTTTATAATTCTTAAATCGAAAACGTGACGTGAATTCTTCGGAGAATCTAATAGTGCACCAGAACCATACAATGAATAGTGTAGTTATATTAAAATGTAAATTTCTTTATGTCACTTGCTTGTGTTTATAATCAGACTAACTAAATATTTATATACTTATATAGTTACATTATTAGAATCGAAGCCGTGACGTCTTTCTTAGTTGAAGATGCAGATAGTTTTATTTAAAACTAGCGACGCACCCTCGCTTCTTTCGGGTTCGTCCCTAGCTTGATTCCCCATACAAACTTTCATCCCTATTTTCACTCCCTTAAAGGACGATTTCCGGGATAAAAAGTATCCTATGTACTTCCCAGAGTCACAAACTATCTTTTTACCAAATTTCATCTACATCGATTCAATAGATTCAGAGATTACCCATTAGTAACAAACTCACAAACTCACAAAAT